CTTTACTGACAGCCATCCCACCCCAGCCTCTGGCTTCTTTACTATTCATTCCACCCAGGAAGAGTACACACCAGCTGCAGAGGCTTCCTCAGCCTGATGAAGGGTTTTTAAACCCAAAACCTTGCCAAGACATTTTTTTCCAACTATTTAAGTTGGTCTAATAAAAGATATCAGATCCACCCAAAGAAACTTGTTCAGCTTTTAGAAGAACTTCATCATGTTATGGTCAGACCTGATGAAAAATGTCTTGCATTTCACAGCTTACCTAACTATTCCAACTACATAGCTCATCCAATAAAAACATAATCACCCTAAAAAAATCCTTGCCTCTTGCATAATTTTGGGCCATCAAGGCTACAACATCACTCATAAACTACCTTCAACTTTCAGCTAACTTGAAATTTATCATCAAGTAATTTTGCCAATATCAGGCTTCAGACCAACTATCTATGCAATTAAAGAGCCATACATATCTTAAATTCCAGAGACACTTGGGTTCAGAAAAGTTATTGCAGAATGCTCTTCTGTAGACTACTTCACTCCATACAAAGGGGGCCACAAGGGACGCCTAGTCCAGTCCTCTGTACTTGAGCTTCCAGCTCTGTGGGCTGGATAAGCAGTGCAGGGCTGGTTTGCCAGCCCAATTCTGCTATGAAGCAACCCTGCCCACTGTCCCAATCCTGTGCAAGAGGCCATGTCATCCAGCCAGCAGGGCTCCCTGCAGTTCTGGAAATTTGGCAGTTGGGGAGTGGTGGCAGCATTAACTAACTGATGCCAAATTTCCAGACTTTTGTGAAGCTACACATACCAGATGACAGCCTCACAGGTCAGATGTGGCCCATGGGCGGGTGGGCAAATACACCATCTCAGACAGATACCAGCCCAGCCTCTTCTCGTAAAGAAGCAATGAAGGAGATTCCACAATATTCCTAGACAGCTTAGTCCACTGTCCTATTATCATTGTTACAGGGTACTTTTGCCTGCAATTTTATCTGCCTTGCCTTGGTTTAAGGCAGACCACACTTCATCTGGCCTCCTACCCTGCCCTCTCTGTCAATGGAAAATTATCTTCCTCCCCCTTCAAATATTTGGAAGGCTACCATAAAGGAAACTGCTATCGAGTCTTTCCTTAATTTTCTTTTCTCCAACCCAAACTTACCTACCTTCCTTCAGCCTTTCCTCATATGGCTTGCTTTCCAATACCTGCATGATCATCTTCTGATGCCTCTAGATCCTTCAGTTTCTCACCACCCTTCTTAAAATGCTGAATAACACTTTGTGCTAAGCTGCTGGTAACAGAACTGAAGACATGAGACAGAGCTCTATTTTGACATGCACACTGCAGCTCTGGTGGAAACCTGCTCCTGCACCAGCAAAAACAAATCATCCTGGTAAGCAGCAGTCTGCATACCTTCCTGGTTCTGTCTGTTGCTTTTTGGAACCTAACCCTATGCATGTCTTTGGTGGACTAACCTCAGGATAATACCTTCCAATTTAACAGTCTGCAGAGGTGCACCTGCCCTCTTCTCCCTCCATTACTGATCTAAAGTCAATACTGGCCCTCGACCCAATTCAACATATTATGGGATCAGATACAAAAGGAAAGTAGTTTGGAAAACTCCCAGCCATTCCGAGCTGAACCCTCAAGTGGGAAAAGAAAATGCGTATGGCATGCAAGGGGGAAAGGAAGGTGAAGAAAGAAGTGCTCAAAAATTAATTTGCAAACTATATCATAGGACATACCT